GAAGTGTAAACTATTATTGTGACTGGGAACTTGATTTGCTGTGTAATTCTGTTGTGTGCTGTCCAGACGTGACAATGGTCTAACAGAAAATAGAGGATCATTTCCTGAGCAGGGTTGGCAAATTTCACGGTCATTTGCTATTTTCACATGAAATTAACAGTAAATTATCACATGATAAGGTTATTTCGAAGGTCATTTGACATCCCTGCAAAACATAGTATGACATAGGACTTCTGTTCAATCTTGTAAAAATAAATGTCAGTTATAAGATTAAAAAAAAAATCAGATGCTACACGTATAAATTGTTAAATGGAGAAATAATTGGATAAAACATGATATGCTCGAACGGCATTTTTATATTATAATTTTTTTAATAGAAAAATCAAAAAGTAAATAGTCCGGAACAAGCAAGTTGTATGATTATTGAAAAAAATAATAATAAAGAAATGTAACAGGTAGTTAAAACAATGCTAAATATATTAAATTGATTAAATTGATTAAATTGATTAAATTGATTAAATTGATTAAATTGATTAAATTGATTAAATTGATTAGAGTAAATAGCAAAATTCAAAACGATCCTCACAATCGAATGGTAAGATTCGCGAAAAGTTACACTCACCTATAACAAAGATTTAGATTTCATTTGCATCTTATTTTACTTTTTTGTATTATAAATTATGAAACATAAATTTATTTTTTTTAATCAACAAATAAAATAAAACAAACTATATTTATATGTAATAAAAACAAATATGATAATAAATATAAAATAACATTGAAATAAACCAAGCTAAAGAACTAATCTCTATAATATCTAGATATAATATGCAAAAAAAAAATAACGAACCATACTCTATAGTTTTAAATATTTAATAGTTAAAAACAATTATTGCATCGAAAACAAGAACTCATTTTGTTGAAGTTAGTAAATAGCGGTGTAAAATTAGCCTAGGTGGATATTTTGTTTTGGGACATCGTTACAGGAATTATTAGATCGGGGAAGAGGACACGGAAGAGGTGAAGGATCAAGACAAGGATGAGGACAAGGACGAGGATATTTATGAGGTGAAGCAATTTCTAACCATTTCTTTTAATTTTAAGATATTCAATAATGATCGTTGGTGGAACTAGATGCAATTTATTAAATGAGATCTTTCCTTTCTTAATAATTAAGTTAGATAAGTGTTGAATATCTTTTTTGATTGTTTAATATACATCGGAGGATTCACGTATCTTTCATATTATTGACAGATTCATAAAGTGATATGTATTCTTCGGCATCAAGGGTTTCAGGTGTTTCCTGGTTTTCGGTAAAAGAAACATAAGAAGCAATGCATTTATAACTTTGCATTTAATTAGATACATACGTACATGAATTAATAAGAATTCAATTACGCGTATAGAAGGATTTTATATTATAAATATAATATAATATATAAGCAGAGAAATGCAATAATTTAATCACAACGTACTTTGAAAACTACTAGTACTAAAATTCAATTGATTCTATCCATCATTATCATCGTCTTCACTTTCTTCTCCAAGATCTACTTCATTTTCTTATTCAAGAGCACCTTTCATGAGAATTCATATCATGATAAGTAAATTCTTCATCTTTATTGTCGTCATTATCTTCACCTTAATCATTTCCATCTCCAAAAGATCTTAAAATTCGCATTAAATGTTGATACATTTTTGTCATTTCATTATCATCAATTTTTGCCACATATTGAAGATAATTTATAAATTCATCTTTCATTTACATTATCACCTTCTCCATCTTTGTTGTTACTATTATTTAAAACCACTGGTACTCTTCGTTCTCGTCGTTTCAAGTTATATATATCCTCTTCCATAAATTCCGTTGAATTTGAAGATCGTCTGAAAAGGAAATAAAACAAGATAGTTTTCATATTTTGATACTAAAGTTTCCTCAACTATTAATGTGCTAACTAATGCGTTGTCAATACTTCCGATACTTAGAAGACAACTTTTTTTATATTCAAAAAATATAAGTATACAAAATATTTAATTTATTATACATCTATTTAATAATATAATCTATTAATTTTAGCTGTAATATCATTTTTGCTTTTGAATGACAACTTGCCAAACATAATAAAGTCTATAATCAATATAATAAATAAATTAATTAAATAAATGATATATCATTTATATTATTCTAAATAAATAAACGAAATTAGTTGAACAACCGAATTAATCATAAAAAAATACCTCAAGCAATGCAGTTGATGAAGCAAAACCTTGACTGGCTCCTTTAAGTTTACGAGTTATTAAAAATATTTTGTAGTAGATTTTTGCATTCTGTTGATAATCTTAATACACGTATACGTATAATTATTTATTATTATTTAAACAGTGATAATTTTTTGTGCGTAAAAAAAAAAACAAAAATAAAGAGTGACTTCGATATTACTACACGCTATAGAAATAAACTTGACTCATATACGTATATGTTGTGGTTATATATATTAATAAAAAATATTTATGAAGAATGTATTTTTAGAAAGAAATTATAATTTATTAAAAATTTTTATCTTCTTCAATTCATCAAATGACAAACTAAATTTTGATGATTTGTGTTTGGCAGCGGTAACAACATTACTTTATCAAGTAAATGATCTGATAAAAAAACCATCAGCTTTTGAATCTATGGTTTCTTTCAAATGACCTATAAGATCAAATGTTATAGAAAATGGTTTCAGATTTTCTATTAGAATTATTACTATTACTATTACTACTACTACTACTATTATTATTATTATTATTATTATTATTGTTATTATTATTATAATTATTATTATTATTAGTTTTTAGGCTTTCGACGGACAGCATGTATTCACATCAATGTTTATTATAATGTCGATTTTGCATCGTCGAGTTTGAACTTTTACTCATTACTTTTTATATAAGAAATAAATATCGATCAGTAATACATATTTATGATTCCTATATCATTAATAATAGTACAGTAATAATAATTCAATACCTAGTCGTAATGATTCTACATCTCTTTTACTTAACGAATCTAAATAAGCCAAATGAATTCCATCTCTTGAATTTGCAAGAATAGTAGCTACAATAATTAATAATTATAATAATAATAAGGATAATAATAGTGATAATTATGAAGTATAAAATAATAAAAAATGTAAGTTAAAAGTATAAGATTACATTGTACGTGGTAGTAAATGGTATAATAAAATAGATTTTGGTACATTCAATGAAATTTTCTTAAATTACGAATAACGGTTGTTTTTTTCTGACCCAAACATGATTCCATCCCCCGTGTCTAAAATGAAATGATAATAAAAATTAAATATATTCAATGTTGACGTGTCGAAAGAATGACACTTTACTTTTTTTTTATCAACCTTTTCAATTTTGATACACATCTCATCATTCTAGGAATGACGTCACATATTATCATAATGTGAATACGTGGAGAGATTCCATGTTTCTTTGATAGATTTTGTTCAGACAATGCAGCGAGACTGAAAATAAATAAGAAATGATAATAATAATAATAATTAAATTTTTTAATTATAATTTGAACAATTAAAACAATTAAAAAAAACAATTAAAAGAATTAAAAGGAATTATAACTAAGAAGACAACCAACTATATACCTCAATAAAAATAATAATTTGATTTTTCTATATACAAAGCGCGGTGTAATATAATCTTTATAAAAAAAATAAACATTTAATTTCTCTTTATTTTGAAACATATTTGAAGCAAAGGTTTTTTTTTTCTTACCAAAGAATACATCGACAAGCCTTTGTGTGAATGCCCAAGCTGATGAATTAGTTATTATTTAACCTAATTAAAAAACTTTAATATTATAAAGTTGTAATGTATCTTTGAAATTTTTATTTTTAAAAATATGTACATAATAAAAGTTGGCATCCAAATACATTCAACAAACCTTTAAGAATAATAAATATTGAATTTTTTAAAATTTCGTGATTTATGAAACGCATTTGAGATTGTTTCCATTTTTTTTTTTATTATTAAGAAAATTTCCTTGTCAAAATGTTATTTATTATCATATATATATATATTTGTTCGCTTTTATTAATCGCTTACTTCGGCACTTTTGGTAAATAATCAAGCCGAATTGTGTTTCTGACTTTCAAATAACAAGAGTTCTTGGGAATCAATAGATGATAAACAACTTTTCGCAAAATCATCTCAAATATTTGAATCACAATAATTATTAAGAATTTCGTTCGCAAATTCGGCTAGAGAAGTCAAATACAGTAAAAAATTTGATTTTTTATTTAACAATTCAATATAATTAAAAATATATAATTAATTTAAAATTTTTTAAATAATGATTTTTAACGATCAAAATTCAAAAGAATTTCAGGATCAATATTCAACAAAACATTGTATCATTTGATTTATTTTTATTTGATTATATATTATTTAGTCAAAATCAAATATTAAATGATAAGAAAAATAAAATAATAAAAAAAAAAAATAAAATAATAAATTTTTACAAACTTGCTTCCTATTAAATTGAGAACGATATTTTGCTTCAAGTATCTCCTGTATATGATATTCCTTTAGACCTTTTATTTAACATTATCAATAATATTATTATTATTACTTTACATATTCATTTTATATTGTTCTAAATATTTAAAGAATTCCTTTTACAATGATTATCTAATTATTAATTCCATTCTCGTTAAATATAAAATTTATTTTATCATATAAATTTTTTAATGTTAATAAAAAAAAAAGCAAATTTAATAAATGTCGTAAATTGAAAAAAATGACATCCTTTTTACCAAATGATAAATTCAATTTATTTTATATTTAAGTTTTCTTATTTTCTTGATTGTCCAGAATTTATATATCCAATTACTTTCCTGAAATGCATTTCTTGCAAAGTGAAAGTTTAGTCATAGTAGTAGGTCATTACTATTGCATAAGTTATTTAATATTTTTAAACGAGTCAAATTTCATCATATACTACTACAGTAATTTTTTATCTTACTTGAACGTCCATTATTACGTTATTTGTTTTGAAATACACATTAGGTTAGGAAATTCCAATTCTCCAAACACACATAAGAAATATAATTCAAATCATATATAATAATAATAATAATAGTTCTAACGGTACGGTAGTGTTATAATTGTTTCGTTTTGAGTGTCAAAAAAAAATTTTTTTTTTATTTTTTCTAAATATTCAAACATGTACGTCCATTATGTATTTTATTTATTTTATATTAAACAATTATACTCCTATTTTATGTTTCACAATTCAATAATTTTTTTTATTATAGTAAAGTACATTTAAACAATGAACAAAAATGTTAACAAAAGAAACAACAAAAGTAGACAAAAGTAATGACAAAGAAACTAAGTTATTTGAATTCATATAATAATTTCATACTCTATACTTAGTGTTAAGATTTTATAATATCAAAGAAATAATAAATAGTGTTTTATAAAATACAAATATATAACGTTAAATAAAATTTATAAATTAGATGTATCCTCCTCCTCATCATCGTCATCATCAATCATCTAATTAAAAAAATAATAAATAAATAAACATAAAAAATAATTATGAATATAATGTAAAATAGAATTGTGATACTCACTAGAATTAATTTGGTAAAAAGATTTTGTTAATTCTTCAAGCTTTTTTTCAAAATTCTCATCATTTTTAGATTTTGGAAGATTTGAAAAATTGAGAAGTCTATTGGTGTAAATTGCTTGCCGATGTGTCTTATAATTTGTTGGAGTTGTTGTAATGGTTGTATCAGTTGTTTGATTTTTGCAAAATTCTTTAGCTTTAATTTGAATTGCAATTTCGCTATTTCATTATAATAATCATCACGATATTTATTCAACTCTTTAAAAGTGGGTCGATGTGTAAATCGAGCATCCCAACATCGCATGATTATTTGTGTAATTAATTTAGGTGTGTGAAATGGAATTTTTGGTCGAAATCCATTACATACATACTTTAAAAGCCAATTCTTTATCATGCGATACATCATGATATGGGAGAATTCGAGTAATTATTTCATAAGCAACAAATGTAGATGAATAAACATCATCTGCCTTTGTATAACCTCCCCCGTTTAATACTTCAGGAGCTATATAGAGTAATACTCCAGAAATGGTATTCTTTTGAGGGCTGGGATTTTTTATTTTTTTCTGTAATTAATTTACTCAATCCAAAATCTGATATATATGTATTGGAATAACCATTCAATTCATTTCTTAAAATATTTCAGGGATGAAAATCACGATGACCAATATCTAATTTATGAATTTTTATAAATCATTAGCTAAAAATTTTAAATATGATAAATTTTTTTTTAAATCCAACGGAGTCTTGCTCTAATAAACTTTTATTAATAAATTAGGTATAAATTTTAAAGATACATATAATTTATTTTACATTTATTGAAACTGACTAAAAATAACATTTTACGGTCTGACTCATCATTGCCTAAGTGTAACCTCAGGAACTGATGGCCAAAACCCCATCAGATGTAATTATTATATATATAACTATAATTATTATTATATTTGCATCCTAAGTTAATCCACATTCTAAATTTATGTATCATGTTCTTTTCTATTTGTTCTATTTTACTGTATTTCCCTTCATTAGTTTCTACTAACTTATACTGTCATTATATTCTCTTATTTCCCTCACCTTTTTTAAATTAGTTTTTTCCCTTTTTTTCCTTTTCAATCTATTTGTAATATTATTTTTAGCTTCCCATAGTGTCACTTTTTCATACCATTCCTTTCAGTAGTCTTTTAAGTACTCTTTTAAGTTAACCATTCCTTCAATAATAGCTTCCCTGACCCTTTCTCTAGATTTTAACATTGATGTAACTTTGAATACTAATGATTGTATTATGAATCCCTTGATTAATTCGTGTAATGTGATCCTAGGTGAACTCATTTCATCTGTATCTCCCCAAAACTTCCATAACTCACTTAGGAACCTAAGTTCACTTTGTATTTTGTCTTCCTCTATCTCATCTTTTTTTTTTGAATTTTTATAGTTAGGCAATTAATTAGTTGCTTGTAATGATTTGTCATTGGTGTGTATTCACTCTCTTCATTATTATTTCTTTTGCAATCAAACACATGTACAGTAACTGTGGAAAATTTTAACAATAGTTAACACTTTTTGAGTAAGCATGTGAAATCTTTATCCTTCTCATTAAGCCGAGAGGGAATTAGATTTTCCAATTTTCACAATGTTACTGGGAAAATTTTACTATGTCAAGCTCTCTACTCAGTCATAGGAGATACCTCAAAGAGCGCAATTGTTACGTTACAAAATTTAAATAAACCTCAACCGATAGGACCAATAAAAATGGTAAACACATAAGGGTAGCTGAGCATCATGTGATTCTGCGCAGAACCAGTACAATCCCGTGCCTGTATGCAATTTGATCAGATATTTGATTTTTTGGTATGGTTCTTGAAAATTAGAACGTTTTCTCCTATTTGTAAGAAAATATAATAAAAATAAATATTTGATACCTTCTGTTGACCAAACAAAAACATAACTATTTGTAAACCACCTTAGTAAAATTAAGATTCAAGTAACCTCCTCATACCTTTTGACCAATTTTAATTAGTTGCTCAAATGCAGTCTGCATTGAAATTACGTTTCAAAGTTCTGGATGTAAAATGGAACCGTAAAAAAATTCGTGAGTATTCGTAATTAAAGAAAAATTCGTGTTTTAATCAGTTTGTAACCCAGCTTAGCGAAAATAAATATTAAATTACTCTCATACCTTCTGAGCAGTTTTAATTAGTCGCTCAAAGGCAGTTTACTTTGAAATTACGTCTCAAAGTTCTGAGTATTTTTAATTAAAAAAAAAATTCATCATTCAATCCGTCGGTAAGCCAGCTTAGCGAAACAAATATTCAAGTACTTTCATACCTTCTGAACAGTTTTAATTAGTCGCTCAAAGGCAGTTTGCTTCAAAGTTCTGGATATAAAATGGAACTGATAAATTTGTGAGCATTGTGAAATGGAACTGTAAAAAAAAATTCGTTAATTCATCGATCATCGCCTAGCAAAATCACGACCGAAACGATTCACATTTCGCATGTAATCTATATTTAAATATATAATATCATTCTTTATAAAATTTATTAATAATATCAATTACACATCAATTACACATCAATTACATATCAATTTATATATTCTATTCAACATCGTATGTGAATAAATAATAGATACAAAAGTTAATTAAATTAAATAACATAATAATAATTATTAATTAAATTAAATAACATAATAATAATTATTAATTAAAAATGTAGTCATAATAGTTAATAAAAAAAAACACAAAACAAGCGAAATCACAACTTCTATTATTCAGATAGGAATTAGTCATACATTTTATGTTACACATGAAACGTGATCATACTGGTAAAAATCACGGTCACTGAATCTGAAACTCACCAATTAAAAGTCTTTTACTAATAGTAGAGATACTGGACGTGTGAAACAATGATTTTTTTTTATTTTGTCTTATATTCAATTTTTTAATTTTTTGCGCTTCGCTTAAATACATAAAGGATTTATAATATAAAGATCTTTTATATAGATCGTATAATAAATATTATATGTACCTATCTTCTTAATATTTTATCAAGAAACAGATATATAGATGAATACCATTTTTAACATGGAAATTAATTCAGACGAATTAGAATATTGTAGTATTTGCTGGAAAAAAGCTACAAATTATTCTTATTGCAATTGTTGTGATGAATTAGATTATGGCAAATGTTATGATTGTGGGGAACAAAAAATTGCATATTATTGGTGTCAAAGCTGCAAACCACTAGAAATAATTCCTACATTTTCATCATGGAAAAGTGGAAATGATGAAATTGACCAGTTAATCCAAGAACATCAATTAATGCCAAAAGATATAGATTTTGATTATTGGAGATGGATTGATTATACCGAATTAGATAATATTCAATATCTATCAGAGGGTGGATATGGTACCGTATATAAAGCTGTATGGAATAATATGCCAGAAGAGATTGAAGAAGCAACTTCTAATACGTCAAAGATGATAGCAATGAAAAAATTAAAAAATTCACAAAATATCACTAAGGATTTTACTAACGAGGTAAATATTACTTAAACAAGTTATTTGTATTTTATATTCTGATGATTTATTATTTTACATTTTAATTCAGATAAAAGCATGTCATAAAAATTATTATTATTATATTATAACTATATACGGTTTAACTCAAGATCCAATTACAAAAGAATATGCTATAATTATGAAATATTGTGATGAAGGGGATTTGAAACACTTCATCAGACAAGAAGATAAATCCTTAAGTTGGAGGGATATATTACGTATATTATATAGTATAACACATGCACTTAATACTATTCATGAAAATGGATATATTCATTGTGACCTTCATCCTGGTAATGTTTTGCAAAAGGAAAGATCAATATATCTAAGTGATCTTGGATTATGTAAGCCAGCCGATTATGAAGCAAAATCAAATGAAATTCATGGAATAATTCCATATTTAGCCCCTGAAGTATTACGTGGAAAAATATTTACACCTGCATCAGATGTTTATAGTCTTGGAATGTTTATGTGGGAATTAACGTCAAGAAGGGCACCATTTGATTATCTTTCACATGATGCACATTTAATTATAAATATTTGTAAAGGTCTTCGTCCAGAGATTGTGAAGGGTACCCCAAAGATTTATGTAAATTTAATGAAATCATGTTGGCAAAATGATCCCTCTGAAAGACCAACAAGCAGGGAAATAAGTGATATTTTTTACAAATGGGGTATTTTAAATGAAAATAAAGAAATCTTCTTAAAGGCCGATGAGGAAATAAAAAATAATATAAAATTAGAAATATCAACACAACACCCTGAAGCATATTATATAAGCAGACCATTAAGTGAACATATAAATACTGCAAAATTATTTTCAAGAGATATTAGGGAAAATGATTTAGCTATAGAATGGCCAGGTAAAAATATTAATTTTTTTACTTTAAAATTGATAATAAATTAATTTATTAATAATCTTTAAATCAATTTATAGATTCTTATTCAGTAAATATCAACGAAATCAATGAAGAATTAAAAACAAATAATTTATAATGAAGGAAATATTCAAGCAATATTTCATTTTTTTACTTTGACATTAATTTTTTGTTTTATATTAATTTCTCAATTATATTTTAAATTTATTGATCCCTGAAATTATTTATATGAAAAGCAAATTCATTTGGCAGCAATTAATAAATAATTTATATTTATTTTAATTTATATCATTAGTTATTTTAAAGTTTGAATAATTAAAAATATCTTAAATCTAATCTTTTAAATTGACGTGTCATTTTTTAAAAAATGCAGCCTATGCTTTGGAGTTTGTGATAATATCCTCCAAAAGGACACTATTCAGAAAGATATAAAGATAAAAGAAATGAATTTAAATAAATTAATAATAATTATTTGAATAAATAAATATACTATTATATCATGATATATTCTGTTAAAATCATTATTTTTTAAATCGTATTTTATTTTCTAAATAATATGCACTCATGACTTTTTGCCAATTTTTATGACGTAAAAGACTGTCAATAAGCTCAATAGATTTTTAGTTAAAAAATGTACTTACTAATAACGAATAAAAAATTATGCATAGTTCTTTTTTCTTTGATTCTTTATAAATAAATAGTAATCTGTCTTGACTTTACTAAAAGTTGTAAAATACAACCTAAAGACAAGTTCCAAGACAAAAGATTGATCATTTTCGTGAAAGTCAAAAAAGTATTCAATAGACAAAACCTACAAAAGCCTTGATAAAGAACTTTGGAAAATTTCAAAAGATTATGGAATTTGGTTCCATTGTAATAATTATCGAATATGAAAAAACTTACAAAGGAATTTGGCAATATTTTCAATTATGACAAAAAGAATGGTTGAAAATTAAGGCTAATTCAATTAAACAAGCAATTAATTAAACAAGCAATTGATATTTTGGGCGTATACACTCTCCCATTTCTCATATATTTAAATTTACGTGAAAAACATCTGTTTCCGGATTTTTGAATTGCAGAATGAAAGATCATTCAGCTTTGTGTGCTAAATAAATGCAACAAAACTTATAGCATCAAAAAAAAATGAGTTGTGAAGAACTAAAATATTTTATACCATATATTTTTTCTTATCTGAATTCTACAGTGCGGAACCTCTATAATAGGAACTTAGTCATAATAAAAATTGTTCAGCCTTTTTGCATTAAAACTTATTTACTATATATAGAGATAAAATTTTAACTGTAGAAATTGATAGTTCAGAACCTAAGCTTTCAGAATTATCAGTTAAATTTTAAATTCATCAACTTTTACTGGAGTTGAAATTCCTGTATTTTAATTATACCTATCAAATTTGAGAATATACTAAAAATAGTTAACTATTATAATTTTACTTTAAAAAAGGATTTCTAATGATTTTAGATATTTTGTATTGGTTAAATACCATTGACAAGAGTTTAAGAGTAAAAAAATGAAATTTATAATTTTATTTAAACACGTGAATATATTTTCTTGAATTTTATTGGCTAAATTGCATCATGTGATGCTTAAATGAACCAAGAAATTGAGAAAAAATTTTTTCCATAAATAGATGTACATATTCAAATACTATAATATAAAAGAAATCTGAGATTGGATTAAATTTTATTTAAAATTTTCTAAGTTCCTATTATAGAGGTTCCGCACTGTATTTGCAATGCGTGGTGATATCATAAAATTGATCTTTCAAATTTGATAATCATGAACTCGTTACACTTTCAAAATAATCAACTCAAATTATTAATCTACCTGCTGATTCTGATTCTGGATCATGTACTGATATAAAATTATATCTGTCAAAGCATAAAATTTCTTAAGATCTAATTTATTGGAAACTAGAATCTGGCATAAATCAAATCTTGTAGGAAAGTGAAAGTAAATTAAATAAATTTGCAGCATGTAAGCGTAGTACAATAAACCAAATTGATATTCCTGTTAGATGCTGAGAAATTGTTGTATTTCTAGTTAGAAGTGTTGTAGTTAAAATCTTTAGAGATTATGAAGAGATCCGCTTAGTATTAATATCTAAAAAAAAGTTGTTGGTATGGATTAAGTTTTTAATACTCTTCCAGAGATACTTAATATCTAATTTGTGGAGAAATTGTTTCAAAGTTTCCTTCAAAGGTTAAGAAATTTCCAGTAATCCATCCTTTGCTTTTTCCCAGTATTTCCAGATTTCCTTCTTATAATTTCGTCTTCGTGAAGATACAAGACAATGATAGAATTACAAAATTCTAGAATTATTTCAAGATTTTGATTTGATAACTTGTTTTATAAACCTAAGCAAATTTTAGTCTTAACAAAGAGGCAGAGTTTTCAAAAAAGAAGTTTTGAAATGTCCAACTAATTCATCCAATTTAAGTTAAGAACCAAATAGTGTAAAATATTATGAAATTTATAAAATTATACTTGCCTGATAGTAGCATTAAAAATTTTAACCGAAATGTTAGGAAGCTTTGATGTCTTTGGCATGATCGTAATTGAAAATAATTTGTTAATTTTTTTTTGCAAGAGGAACATCACCTCCACACCACTTTCAAGGTATCAAGGATTGGGAAAGTCGTACCGTGTATAAAAGATTTTCACCAGAAATTTTAAATATCCATCGATTTTTTATTTCATTTTTTTTAATTCGCGATGTTTTTAATTTAATTATTGTTATTAGAATGATATTAATATAATTACTATTTTTTAAAAAATGACTTTGATAGTATAATCTAGTTTCAATTTCTTCCCATCCCAATTAACTTTAATTCTAACTGATATTAATACTTTTTCAAATACTCCAAATTTTGTTAATAAAATTTTTGACTTGGCGAGAGTCAAATTAATAAATTATTACTTTAATTGGTGTATATATTACATTAATTATTTATTAAATTAATTATAGTTATAACTAAAACTTTATAAAACTTTATGGATTGGATAAACTTGCATCTCATGATTCCAAAATTATTGATAATCTACGAGAAATACAAGAAAGTGATTCAAATGAAAACTTTTACATATTAAAAAGTTCATATATTATAAGGTGGAAGCCTTAGAAATTATCCAAATAACAGTTTTAATAACATCAATTGTAACTAGAGCATTTATACGAATTCATAAATTAGATATAACTTATCGTGATTTTTCTTGCCACAAATATTTTAAGAAGTAACTTGGAAGGCAAGTACACATATATATCATATTTTTGGATTGAGTAAATTAATTTACAGAAAACATAAAAACTTTCCCAAATGAAATCATTTCTGAAGTATTACACTTTATGGTTCCAGGAGTATTATTGGGAAGAATATATAAAGGCTACTGATGTTTATCATTTTGCATTTGTTGACTTTCCCATATTATGATGTGTTGCATGATAAAGATAAGCTTTTAAATCTGAAATGGATTACACATCTAAATTAATCACACAAATGGGATGCTGAATAAGAATATAATAAGTGTAAAAATGATAGTAATGAAATTACAATTCAAATTAGAGAAGATGAAGAATTTTCCAAAAATCAAGCAACAACTTATTTGAAGGCAGATAAATTATAAAATACATCCATAAGCGACTTCTCAATTTTTCAAAACTCTTAAATGAATCTTTTATCAAATATATGCCAATAGTATCAAAATTAAAAATTTATTATATTTATTTTTTAAATGCTATTTTCTTTTTCTTTATTTTAATTGGCGATTATGATGAATTGGATTCGTCTAATTTATAAATTTTAGTTAATGCTAATGCTAATAAATCAGCCTTAAAATTATTTTTTTATATTATTAAATCTTAACACTAAATTGGGTACAATTATGTGATTCAAATTACTTAGTTTGTAATTAAGATTTTTATTAAAATTACTTCGATTATTTCCAGCGAATTTTCACAATAAAATGATTAAAAATATTAAAACTAGTTATAATAAATATTCAAATAACCTAAAATTTATCATTTTTAGACTTACATTATTATCTTATCCATTTGTATGACGCTAGCATTTTATTAATATTATAATTCATAATAATTGTTATCATTGCTATCATCATAACCAATATCATTATAAAATGCGCCACCGTAATTATCTTTAATATATCACCTTCGCCATCCTCACTATTGTATCGAAGAATAATAACTAGTCAAATATTAATTTTATTATTTATTGTTGTTGTCGATATTTACAATTATCTTCGATACCAAATTAATAGTTGTATAAAATATATGTTTAATCTAATATCTTCAGTACTAAAAAAAATTGCAAATTTCAAATAATCAATATAAATTCACAAACCTTAAAAATGGAAAATATTATTTAAAATTTCTAAACCAGACCAATACATCTTTCTACGATTAATTGGCTCACCATCGATTTGGTTTTTCGCTTGGGATTTTTTGATCCAATTTTAATTCTTTATATCAATAAAATTTTTGATATATAATAATTTAATGAATTATTTAATTTAATAATTAATTTACTTATTCTCACTTATGTGTTAATCTAAATAATCTAAATAAGTAATAAAAACAATATATTGAATTAATTATATATCAATTTCAAATCCCTCGTATTTTTATTTTATTATTTTATTATTTTATTATTTTTATTATTATTTTTATTATTCTATTCTTTTATAAAAATTCTTATTTTATTTTTTTTTTTTTTTGAAATGCATCTATTTTCATTTCTTTTATCAATTATTAGATTTTCTTCATTATATCCTTTCGAATAATGTCCTTTTGAGGCTATTGCAATATCCAAAAAGCATGGTTGCTTTTGAAAAAATGACGCATCAATGATAAGGCTTATAAGATATTTTTGACTATTCAAACTTTATAAAAAAAATGCTTTTACAACTAACACCTTTTAAATACTGTGTAAATTAAAACAAATTATGAATTATTTATTAATCAACAGTTTGCTTACCAAAATAAATGGATTTTTTTTTTATAAATAATTCCAGCGATCAATAAATTAAATATAACAGATAATTGATAAATAAATAATGACATATGGCAGAATATTTCTTTCATTGTAAATTAGAGCTATTTATTCTAATTCTTCGCCGATTTTATCTACTGAACTAGAATCTATAAATCAATTTAAAGATTATCAATAAAATTGATTCATCATCAGTTTAAAAATTCATCAAAAAATTTAATAGTACCTGGCCATTCTATAGCCAAATCATCTTCTCTAGAATCTCTTGAAAGTAATTTTGCAGCATTGATATATTCACTTAATGGTCTACTTATTTCATATGCTTCAGGATGCTGTGTTGATATTTCTAATTCTATGTTATTTTCCATTTCCGAATCTTTAACAGAAGTAAACAATTTGTAAATAATAAAATCAAAAATTTCATTACATGTTGGTCTTTCAGAGGGATCATTTTGCCAACATGACTTCATTAAATTTACATAAATCTCTGGTGTACCCTTCACAATCTCTGGACGAGTACCTTTACAAATATCTATAATTAAATGTGCATCATATGCACGATAACTAAATGGTGCTTTCCTAGATGTTAATTCCCACATAATCATTCCAAGACTATAAATATCTGATGCAGGTGTAAATGGTTTTCCACGTAATACTTCAGGTGCCAAATATGGAATTATACCATAAATTTTATTTGATTTTGCTTCATAATCGGCCGGCTTAGATAATCCAAGATCACTTAGATATATAAGTTGTCCATCATTCAAAACATTGCCAGGATGAATGTCACAATGAACATATCCATTTTCATGAATTTCCCTAAGTGCAATTGTTATAAAGAATAACATTAGAAATCTATCACGCCAACTTAATGGTTTATCTTTTCGTGTTATAATATGTTTCAAATCTCCTTCATCACAATATTTCATAATTATAGCATATTCTTTTTTAATCGGATCTCGAGTTATACCATATTTAGGAATAATAAAAGGAGAATTATTTTTATGATTTGCTTTCATCTGTGTTAAAAATATAAAATACAAATTACTAATATCAAAATGCAAATAACTTGTATAAGTAAATATTTACCTCATCAATAAAATCTTTAGTGACATCTTGAGAATTTTTTAATTTCTTCATTGCAATCATCTTTGATCCATCTGAATATTCTTCAATCTCTTCTGGCATATTATTCCATACAGCTTTATGTACAGTACCATATCCACCCTCTGATAGATATTGAATATTATCTAATTCGGTATAATCAATCCATCTCCAACATTCAGCTTTTGGCATTAATTGATTTTCTTGAATTAACTGGTCAATTACATCACTTCCGCTTGTCCATGATGAAAATGTAGGAATTATTTCTAGTTGTTTGCGGCTTTGACACCAATCATATTCAATGTTTTGTTCTCCGCAGTTAAAACATTTTCCATAATCCCGATGGTCACAGCGATGTTTCCAGCAAATACTACAACGTTTTGAAGTGCCCTCCGTGTTAAAAATGAAACTCATTTGATATATTTATAATATAAAATTACGAAAAAGTGTGTAAAGAATTTATAATATAAAGTTTATTTATAACATACAATAAATATTGCAATTTTTTGGAATCGATAAAATTTAGAAAGTGAAATGATCTAATATTTCAAAAATAAACATGACAGGAAATAATAATATAAAAAATTAGAGTTATTAGTTTTAACGTTGGAAAGTATGTTAAAAAGGACCGGACAAAGTCTAAAAGTTCCTTTTTAAGATATTATAGTAATCGATAAAGCCACATTTGCATAATCGAGATAACAATTATAAATAACATCGTTGTTCCACAAAAATAAAAGATAAAGAATATTTATTTTATCATGCAATTTAATTATCATAGTATAGATTGTTATTCCTTTTTCGGTGAAGTCACGGCACAAACCACCTTCACCCAATTGGTGAGTATTGGTAAGTTCTTAATTATTTTATTATTTTCTATAAGTGATAGTAAAAATAGTAAAAAAAAATTATTTTTTTACTATCACATGGAAAATAGTAAAATAATTAATTTTTTTTACTATTTTT